AGGTGATTGAAAAGTTCGTGCGGTTTTCGGTATGCCTCACTGCAATGGTCTCCTGTCACTTGTGGGCTCTTGTAAAAGATGTCATTGTTTATGCGTGTTGCAAAGCATAGGCAGGTGTCAGCACTCCTTTACGGTGCTTTGTACCACTTTCGGGATGTTTTGAACCCGCTTAAACGACCGTTTGAAAGGGGTGTGACTCGAGTTTGTCTGTCCTACTCATTTAAATGCGCTCACAAAGCTACGGGCCTTTTCGTGAAATGTGTTAGCATTTGGTGAAGGTGCGGTAGCGGAGCGCACCACCCAGAAGCAGGTGGTTATGACTGAGACATCACATCAGAAAGCGTGGTTTAAAGTGATGGTGATGTTGTTGATGATGGCGGCGGTGATGGCTCCTGGTAGTAATAAGTAGATACTTGTCGCTATTGCCATGTTATTCTGAGATAAGCGTGTCAAGAACAACTTTCAGTGATGTTAGACATAAATGGCAGAGCATTTCGCGTATAGCTAACACCAATTGGGAAGTTGATCCCTCATCCCCATGCATTGACAGATGACAGTGAAATTGAAAGACTATCAAGTTGCTCTCCACTTCTTCCATGTACTCTATAAAAAGGTGCTGTGCACCTCTGGGTTGTTTACTCACTGACCTACTGACTTGTGGGAAGAAGTGGTTTTTGTGTTGCAATGTTAGGCGTCACTGGTTATCCACCGACGGTCCACCCACTGTGTGTCCAGGAGGCCGTGGTTTCTTGGCGTTTGGTGAACTGCGGACACAATTGTTCACTTACTGAAGGCTCATCCATTGTGACGGGACCTCATCCACCCTGTACGGCTTGGGAGTGGGCAAAAAAAATATCGTCAGGAGGAGCCAGAACCAATCAACCAGTGGGAAGGGGGCTGTTTCTTGCAGGGCAATACAAGATTTCATAGACCATAGCACAAGACTTACTCGTAGGATGATCCTGCATGTTAGAGGGAGTGGGGGAGAGGGAGGGGGGAGAGGTGTCGCCTTGCTTGCATCTTCCGCATTTCATTGACACTCCTCTAGGTGATGGTCACCTTTTGGTGGTATTCGGAGATCACGTGGGAAGTAGAATGGGGAGTTGAGAGATGGAAATGAGATGGAGTTGGAGGCGACTGGGATTGAGTTATTGCCTCTGTAGGCAAAGTGTGTTATAAGGTGGGATTCACCTGCTTATGTGTTGCAGATTTTTGTGGCTTTTTATTGGAATGTAAGGGGATGTTTAAACTTGTTTCGCCACCATGTGTTTATTTTAGTTATATTTTGTTATGAAATGGTGCTGTAATATACAGGAAATGAAAACTGTCAATTT